AAGATCTACAAGAGCTACAGCGGGATCGAGTACCACCTCTACCACTATGACCACGACAACCCCCCGCCGCCCCAGCACACCCCCCTGCGCAAGCACAAGAAGAAGGGGCGACAGGCCCGCGCCGCCAACAAGCAGTCGCCCAACCCCTCCGAGCCCTCCCAGTCACCCGGCCGTGAGGTGATGACCTACGCCCAGGCCCAGCGCATGGTGGAGGTGGACCTGCACGGCCGTGTCCATCGCATCAGCATCTTCGATAACCTCGATGTGGTGTCCGAGGATGAGGAAGTTCCCGAGGAGGTGCCCGAGAACGGCAGCAATAAGGAGAACACGGAGACCCAGAGCGTCCCACCCAAGTCCGGCAAGCACAAGAACAAGGAGAAGCGCAAGGACTCCAACCACCATCACCACAATGCCTCGGCCGGCACCACCCCCAAGCTCCCCGAGGTGGTGTACCGGGAGCTGGAGCAGGACACCCCCGACGCCCCGCCTCGCCCCACCTCCTACTACAGGTATTGTCCGTGGCCGGGGCGCGAGGAAGCTCCTGGGCACTTCTAGCTCGTGCCCTGGGTCTGGAGGTGGAATTAGCTCTGCTCTGTGCTGGTGGCCTGTCTGTAGCTCGTGGAAATGGCCTCTATCTACCTCTCTGAGGTCCCATTGAGCTGGCTGTCCCGTGGCTCCGAGAGCTCTGTCTGATGTTGAACCCCAGTTTTGAGGGGTCTGTGCACCTGCAGAGCTCTCGATTGCTGCTTAGGTCACTGCTGGGAGCTGGATTACTGTGCTCCTTCCTTGCTGGGATCATCAGAACAAAATCCAAATATGTCCTCCTGCTTTCTGTACTGCGTTTCGGAGGTGTGTGGGGACAGCTCTAGAGCCCCAGCACCATGGCGTGCCTGTAAAATGTGACTCTTTGTGGGCTTAATTCTCTTTGTTGTCCTGTGTTTTTCTGTGAGTGATTTGGCGAGTGCAGTGGCCCAAAGTAATACCTCAAGCAGGGATTTCATGGTTCCTGTTGAGCCAAAGTAATGCTCGTGTGGCCACCATGGCTGTTCCAGTCGCCACACATCCTGAGAAACCGGCACCGTGTCCAGAGGCAGGATAATGACATTGTGTTGTGTCAGGGAGTTAGAAGAGAAACCTCCCGCCGAGGTGCCTGCAGTGCCACTCACTGCAATGGCAGTAGGTGCTTGCTGTCAGTCACTAGGGCAGCAGCCTGGGGTTCCAGCTCTTTCCTCTCAACAACATCCCCTTGCCCCTACACAGAGTGAGTGAGATGAGGGTGCAGCCACCCCCACCAGAATTAACAGGACATGGTGCTTCCACACCTGGCTGCTGTTGTGTCTTGGGTGCAAGGCCAGCCAGGTATCTTCCAGAGTACCCGGCACCTGCTGGGTGGCTTGGGCGGGCTCCCAGCTTGTGCTGACAAGTCCCCGAGGCCTGTACCTCTCCTGTTGGAGGAGTGTTGTTGTGTCCCTGTTGTGCCCAATGTGCTGTTGTGCCGCTGTGCTGCTCGGGGCACAGCAGCACCTCCCGCTTCTGCACGTTTCTGCCTTGTCCCTGCAGGTTTTTGTTTTTTAACTTGGGGCTGGAGCATTTAAACATTCCCTCAGCTGCGGCCTGCAGGAGTTGGGGACAAGCCCCCCCCAGCCACACTGTCACCATCCCATGCCATCCTTCCTTCCAGGTATATCGAGAAGTCAGCTGAGGAGCTGGATGAGGAGGTGGAGTACGACATGGATGAGGAAGATTACATCTGGCTGGACATCATGAATGAGCGTCGGAAGACCGAAGGCGTGAGTCCCATTCCCCAGGAGATCTTTGAGTACCTGATGGACCGGCTGGAGAAGGAATCCTACTTCGAGAGCCACAACAAGGGTGATCCCAACGCCTTGGTGGATGAGGACGCCGTCTGCTGCATCTGCAACGATGGGGAGTGTCAGAACAGCAACGTCATCCTCTTCTGCGACATGTGCAACCTGGCCGTGCACCAGGAGTGCTACGGGGTGCCCTACATCCCAGAGGGACAGTGGCTGTGCCGACGGTGCCTGCAGTCACCCTCGCGGGCCGTGGACTGCGCCCTCTGCCCCAACAAGGGGGGGGCCTTCAAGCAGACGGACGATGGGCGCTGGGCACACGTGGTCTGTGCCCTCTGGATCCCAGAGGTGTGCTTTGCCAACACCGTCTTCCTGGAGCCCATCGACAGCATCGAGCACATCCCGCCCGCCCGCTGGAAGCTGACCTGTTACATCTGCAAGCAGCGCGGCTCCGGCGCTTGCATCCAGTGTCACAAAGCCAACTGCTACACGGCCTTCCACGTCACCTGCGCCCAGCAGGCCGGGCTGTACATGAAGATGGAGCCTGTCCGGGAGACGGGGGCCAACGGCACCTCCTTCAGCGTGCGCAAAACTGCCTACTGCGACATCCACACGCCGCCGGGCTCCGTGCGCAGGCTGCCCGCCCTCTCCCACAGCGAGGGGGAAGAGGAGGACGAGGAGGAGGAGGAGGAGGGCAAGGGTTGGAGCTCTGAGAAAGTCAAAAAAGCAAAGGCCAAGTCTAGGATCAAAATGAAGAAGGCGCGAAAGATCCTGGCGGAGAAACGAGCTGCGGCGCCCGTGGTTTCTGTGCCCTGCATCCCCCCACACAGGTACGACCTGCCGCCCTCCCTCGGCTCTGGAGAGCCTTCTGCCTTGCTGCATGCCTCGTGTCCCGCTTTCCATGTGGGCATTACCTCATTCCTCTCCCTAGCTTTTCTCACAGGTGCCTCTTGTTTTGTTCCCGCCGAGGGCTGTTGGTGCTTCCCTCGGGGGTCCTGCAGAGAGGCAGGACGATGTGCTGCCCACAGAGGTGTCCGGGCCCTCGGCGAGGCAGGAAATAGCTGC